CAGCGAGCCACTTCGCAAACTTGTCCCAGCTTGATTGAAAATTGCTTCCCTCGTTAGGTGGGAGGAGGTTTTTCTTTGCTGTTAGGTTTCTTTTTTCACCCATCTCATGCTGCTTACTCGCCAGCTGAACCCTGATGAGATTTCATAAAGGGAAGGAGTCCCAAGCAAGAAATTTCTTCGTAGAATTTAAAACATAAAAGGATGAGGAGGAGATGCTGTTACTAACATGATGAAATAGATTTATTGCATTTTAGTGTCAAGGTCCATTTTAACATTGTTTATAAAATTAATTCAGGTTTTATGATCAGATCAGAAACCAGTGTTATGTAGCAGAGAAAAACAATTTCCCTCCTGTTTATCCAATGGCTTTTTTTAATCTCCGTATGTATCAAAGCACTGCCGTAAGTTTACTCTAGTCAGGAATTTTATCTTTAAATTTACGATATATTTATGTTGTATTTAAAAAGTGAAAAACTTATCTCAAATGTCATTTAGCATAAATCGATGCTAAGTATGAATTTGAAGAAAAAAAAAAGCCACCTACATATTTTATCACCAATCCAATTTTTATTACAAATTACATACTTGAGCAGCTTCATTCATCCAGCCAAAGTCATTTCAGATGACCTTTTCCTCAGCAGATTCTGTCTGAACAGAATATTGTTCTGCTGTTAATTGTTTTGGACATAGTGTGTGAAAATTCTTAAGGGAGTTGAATTTCGTTGTTCAGGGTTCACAGTACATAATTTTGCTTGCGTGTTTACTGCTGGCCTGTCAAAGTATATGAAGGAATAAAATTCTCCCACAGATCAACTAATCATGAAAATAGTGTTGAGGTGTTTGATTGACATAGTGAAGCTGTTAATTTACAGTGTATCAAGATCAAATGGAAGTTATTGCAATTAGGAAGTGATTGTGTTCTCAGTTGAAATTTTTAAATGCTGCGTTTTAGATTTTTGTGCATTTTTATGCTGTCTCATGGATGTATTGGAGAATTTGTATGGTTTGTTCCATTTAGATACTTAATGTTCAACACAATTTCAGCACAAATTTTACTTTTTCATAATAGCTGATATTTAATTAATTGGGGAGAGTTGCTGTACATGTAATGTTTCTGTACTCTAAAGTGCTTTGAGGCACAAAGGATTCAGCCAATCTGAGATTTCGTTGGTTGGTTAGTTTGGGATTTTTGTTATTTTTACAACTTTCATTCAAAGTGTTATGGTATCAGGCTAAAATCTTCCTGCTTATTTCTGTAGTTTGTATGTATGTATGTTTGTATGTATGAAGTTGTATTCAATATATCTGTTCTGCTTTTGGCTGAGCTAGAGTTAATTTTCTTTCTAGTAGCCAGTATAGTGCTGTGGTTTGGATTTAGGATGAGAATAATGTTGATAACACACTGATGGTTTAGTTGTTGCTGGGTAGTTGTAGTGTCTACAGGAAGTCAGGGACTTTTCAGGTTCTCACACCCTGCCAGGTGCAGAAGAAGCTGGGAGAGCACAGCCAGGACAGCTGACCCAGACTGGCCAAAGGGATATTCTCTGCCGTAGGACATCATGCTTCCAGATATAACTGGGGAAGCGAGCCGGGAGGTCGGATCGCTGCTTGGAAGCAGACTGGGCAGCAGGTTGGGTTTTTTTCCTTCCGCATGTAGTGAGCAATTGCATTTCCCACCATTTCTTTTTGTAATACTACTAATATTATTATTCTCTTCCTTCGTTATCCTATTAAACTGTCTTTATCTCAACCCACGAGTTTTTTTCCATTCTCCTCCCCATCCCCTTGTGGGGGCAGGGGTGAGCGAGTGGCTGCATGGCGCTCAGCTGCTGGCTGGGGTTACACCACGGCAATATCAGACATATAGTAAGACCTTCTTTGGTACCATGCTGTGGCACACGTTAAAGTCGGGACTTTCATATCCGTAGTCCTTGTATCTTAATGGTTCAGTTATTCTTGAAAGCCACATTTTTCTCCTAAGTATTCTTAGAAAAAAAATCACGGGATATCAAAAGGAAATGTTTGTTCTCTGTATCGCTTTCTCTTTTTAAAATCTACATTCAAGCATGTGGTACTGACAAATGACAGACAGATTCTAGAGGGCAAAAGGCTTCTCATGTCCCTTAAATTGCGGACACAGGTACGGTGGTGAAACAAGCTGGGTTAGTTGAAAAAAAGCTGTGGATACCCGATGAAGTCCCTAAAGCAATTTAGCCTTAGCCTAGTAAAGGTAATTTTTTCTTTGGATGAGTTGACCATTTTTGCCATGGCTTCATTACTTCTGTTCCCGTGCTGAGGCTGCTGTTTCTCATTTTTTCACATGCACGATCTACTCCCACTTGTGCAGCTGCTAGGGAGTGGTTTGTTCCGGGTTTAGGCCTGAAGTTTCACCTCCACGCTCAGGTGTCTATAGCCTGATATTAGCATTAGATCTTTTCCTAATTTAAGACTGTAGAAAACAAGTAAGCGGCAGCGTGACGTTAAGAACAGTGCTGAGGTGATAATGCAGCTCTTTGGTGTCACTGAAGAGAAGCAGTGTAGAGGCCATTAGCCCGGTCCTTGGGGATGCCCACTGAGACGCTCTCTCCAGTTGTCCCTGTGGCATCCAGACCTGCACCCGACGGGGACGGGCTGTGCAGGGAACAGTTTGGTTCTTTAGTTCTCTGCCCTGCAAGGGAGAGGGCTGTGGCTGAAGTTCTGGCATATTTTTTAGAACATTAGAAAATACTGAAGGGTGGGGGGATTGATTGTAAATTTGTGATACCAGTAGTAGAGAAAAATCCAATAGACTTACATGCTTCCTTGGATTACCCGTACAACCTGCCTTGGCTTTATCTCCCTTTTGGCTCTCACGCTTTCATTCTTACTATGTATTAGGAATATGAAAGTGATCAGTGTTACAGAAACTAAAGGGTAACATGCATCTGTCTCAGTTTGTTTAATTCTGCAGCCACCTGACAAAAGATGCGTTCAGATGTGTGCTGTAACTAGCACCTTTATGACACAAACAGGAAAATTAGGGTTGTAATTTTCCCAAAATTTGGGAAATGTTTTTAGATCCAGTATTTTTTCCACAGAAACAGTACACCTGACAGCTAGCGTGGATCATGCTGTTTTGCGTGGCCAAGAGATGTATTTGGAGCATGGGATTCATAAGCAAACCAGCTTAGCTATGGCACTTGGATAGGGCGTGTTAATTTTTTACTTTTTTTTTAAATTGATGAAGCGTTATCCTTTATTGTAAACAAAAGATGGTTAGAGTCAAGCAAATAATGTCTAATGCAAGGGAAGGGGCTGGTGAACACATTAAGGTTCATGCTTTTAACCAAGTGGGAAAAGATAGAGCTCCTGTTTTTCTTCCCTCAGCTGTTCCAGTTCTTTAACCAGTCTGACTTTTGCATGTTGCGTTTCTAGGTCAGCGGTGACACAACTACCATGCTTGTGCCCAAATTGATCATCTCAGTCTGCTATACTCCACATGTCTTTCACATCCATCTTTGCTGTAGTCTGTGTTTGGATTTTGGAAGAGCCTGTCAGCTTTGCATTTCCTGAGATCTTCAGGAACAGGGATGGCTCAGCAGGCGCATGTTAACTTCTCATGTGTTTTGTCCTGCTCCAACTATTTGAGAGTAAGAGAAAAATAGGAGGAGAGAGCTTTGCAAATAGATGTGAGAAAAGTCGGTCTAAAATCACTGTCAGTAAGGGAGGTGACACGTTTGCTAAGGTTGTGAAAAAAATTGGCCAGATTAATTCTTGCAGAGAAGAACTTCTGACTGTTGGACATTACTGTACACCTCCTGGAGGATGTTCTCTTACTCTTTCTCCTTCATGTGGGTGAGAAAAAAACAGCACAGTTGAGTTCATCAGCATCTTTCTGGATGCCAGACACTGGGCCCACTGCAGAAAATTACCTTTAAGAGCATGACTTTTTTCTTTAATTGATAAAGTTACAACCGAAAGTGATTATAACCGCTTTGTTGTAACTGAAAGATAGTCAGAGACAAGTGGACAACGTCTACTGGAAGGGACAGGGCTGGTGAACAGCCCTTCCCTCCCGGTCCTCCTTTTGGCAGCAGCCTGTCGTGCGTGAGCACTACTCCTCAGGGCCTCACCCGTTTTCCTTCCTGGGTGCTGTGCCCCTGCCTGCTGCCCCCACGAGTGCCACCGCTCTGTGGGGACACCCCAGGGCCCCCACTCCCAGCCTGCTGCCACCCCGAGCTCGGCAGGAGGCAAAGCCGGTCTTCTGCGCATGCACGGCTTTCGGATGCGTGGAAGGATGTCAGTGAGCTGCTTGCCAGGGACACCGGCAGGTCTGGGACTGTAATTCCAGGGCTTCAAAACCTGGGATTGTCCCGGCCAGGATTGAACTGGGTGTGGAGGGCAGCAAAGAACCAAAGACGTGGGTAAGAGGACAGAGGGGAAAGGCAGAAAGGAAAATTGGCACTCAGAGCTGGATTTGATGCTAAGCCTGGTAATAGCAGAGATATGCTGTTGCAGATCTCAGCTGTGTAATTGTCTGTTTTTCCTAACACAGCTAGCTTTAAATGAAATGAGGTGAATGAGTAATTTTTGAATTTAATTTTCTCGCACTTAGTTTCTCCCCATGACTGCAAAGCTACTATAGATGATAATGATATTTTAAAAATTCTGTAGGTTTGGAAGTAAGAAAATATTTCTGATACAGCTCTCTTTTGGCTAATGAAATAGCAGCTTACTTGTGAGCTGGTATTAATGGCACATTCAGTAATGACACACGATGCAATTATTTTACTAGACAGAGAAGCACTTAGACATAAACGTAAGATATTTCTGAATCTAGGCATCAGCTGGAAGTGATTGAAAATACACTATTTGTGCATGTTTCTTCAAATAATTACTGCGGAAAATATTGTGGCATTGTATTTAAAAGCAGGGGTTTTTTTAATGCTAATAGCTGTAGAGGGAAGAGAATTCCCAAAGAGAAATGCTCTTCTGTAATCCTGTGTTAATCTTCCTGACAGAAAGCAGAAGAAGAGGAGCTTGTCCTCACACCTGATGGCACCAGGGAATTCCTGACATTTGAAGTTCCACTGAATGACTCTGGATCAGCTGGACTTGGCGTGAGCGTCAAAGGTAACCGGTCAAAAGAAAACCATGCCGATTTAGGAATCTTCGTCAAGTCCATTATTAACGGTGGAGCAGCATCCAAGGTAAGAGGGAACATCTGTGTACTTTGGTCTTTCTCAGTTTTCCGTAATAAGGCTGTTTTGAAAATAACCACAGATTCAAGAAGAATGAGATTGCTCTGTAACTAGCTTTTTCCAATGACACCATCAGAGGTAACATTTAGATTTCTTCTCAGATTCACATGTTTGTGCATCTCAGATTTTCAGCAGCCCTTGCAGATTCTTGGGAAGGATACGAGCCGTCTTCGGTACAGTTCAATTAGTATGCTATTTGTGCAAACAGGTTATGATAATAGCTTGCAGTGCAAATCTATAATTGGAATAGACATTTCCTACAATGGCTGCAATGGAAGCTATTATACCAGTGTTCATTTGCCCATAAACTATTAGGACTAAGCATAGTTGTGATTATTTTTCTTTTGTTTTTTTCTTCTCTTCATCAGGCTAAACTTTTGTGCGTGTTTTATGCAAAGCTATAATCTTTCCTTTTCCAGGATGGCAGGCTTCGAGTGAACGATCAACTAATAGCGGTAAATGGAGAATCATTATTGGGCAAAACAAATCAAGATGCTATGGAAACCTTAAGGAGATCCATGTCCACTGAAGGAAACAAACGGGGAATGATTCAGCTTATTGTGGCGAGGCGAATAAGTAAATGCAATGAGGTAATACGCTTTTGATATTGGGACTGGGAGTTTTCACTTCTAAGGTATTTGAGTTTGTAGGAGATGTCATGTTTCCTCTGAGACCTGGAAAATAATACTTGAGAAGCTAAACAAAGAGAGAATTACGAAAAGATCTGACTTTCAGTGTTAGACATGCTAACCTTATTACCGATCAATAAAGTTTTTCTTTTGAGTATTTTCATCAATGAATAACAGGAAACACTGAATAAAACTGTATTGATTTTGTAATTGGATCCCACTGTTTACGTTACTTTTGTTCTTTGGAGTTTTTATGTAGGTCTATTGAATCTTTCGTTTATAGACTGTTAGCTGACTTGCTGCTTTGTCACTTTCAGGTTTTTTAATTAAAGAATAGAGCTGTTACATTTCATTATTATATTTTATCTAAGCAATTAAAAGTTGCATGTAAAGATTCTGCAAAACTTGATGCAAATAATTCTCTTGTTTTGGATTTTAAATATGTTGTGTCTTGGCCTTTATTGCAGGGAAGTATGAAATACTGAATTCAGGGTGAAGTGGTGATTCTTTTTCTGATATTATTTGCAACTTCTGCCTCCTCCAGTCAATGTTAATGTGTTGATGTTATGAAACATGTTAATGATTTCTAATAGTTTATCTTCTAGATTAGCGTAAATAATGCTATACAGTAGGAATATGTGGCCATATGATACTGAGAAGGACTGCAGATGCTGTGGAGGACTGAATTAGGCTTCAAAATGATTTTGACAAATTGGAGAAATGCACTGAGTTAAATAGGGTGCAGTTGAATGGCAGGTCAGGGAAGCATCTGTTCTTAAGACATCTAAAAATCATTCTTTCATTCTTGTTAACACCGGTAAGGTCTTACTGGGAATGTTATTTCTTGAGCATCATGCTTCAAAAAATGTTGTGCACAAATTGGTTTAGTACTGCTGATCCTGCCTAGAGGGAAAAGGAACGGTTTATTTTTTAATGCAAAAAATTGATCATTAAAAAATTCCAGTCCATAGTGTATTATAAAATCATGTTTGAAAAAGACACTATCCTCTCTAAAAGTATTAAGCTCCTCTTGATTAACTGCTTATACACTGCTTTAATACACATACGCACATTTATATATGCACACTGCTGGAAAGCCTGCTTGGATGCACACGGTGTCTTGCTTGGTGTTGAAGGAATTCTGACCTTTTTATAGTTGGTGATGTCCTGTTCTAGCCTTAATTCTGAACTCGGACTCCGAACTGTCCTTTGGAGACTGTCCTTATTCCTACCTAATTTTAGATGCATTTTATGTGTTACCACATAAAAAGGGTGAAATGTTTTAGACTATTTCTGTGTTTAGAATATTTTTTTCAAAAAGGATGTAGATGATGTTTACTCTTCTCTAAGTAAAAGTCTTCTAGATCAAATGTATCAGGACAGGGTTTGTAAACATGATGGAGCAAATCCAGCAATGATGAACCAAAAATATTGCTCCTTAAATCTGATAGAATGTTTGCCCATTTGAGTTAAGCATAGTTGGGTGCCCTACATCTGCTTGACATTTAGTATGATTTATTTTGCAGAAATCACATGGCAAAAATGGCACAGCCTAGTTTGCGGTATATGTGCTCCAAGGTGAAAGAACTGATATTAGAACCAGATTTTGATACACTGAAATGTATCTGTAGAGGGAGCAGGATGGGGACCTGTGTCTGTCTGGACCTACTTTACAGTTTTTTATGCATTTTCCCAAACTCCTTAATAAGCTAGTGAGATGACCCATAATGATTTGGGAAAGTGATGATAGCAATTATTGGTGTAGTGATCATCTTTCCAAAATAATTCTTGTAACTATTTTTTTCTCCAGAATTATTGCTCTCATGACATTAATCCAAAGGAAATACGATGTCAATACTATTTGCATATTTTAATATGATGAAAGCACAACTTGCATGGACATAAAGCTATTTACCTGCTGAGCTGGCAGTATTCAAGAAGGCGGTTTTCTGAAAGTCTTGCAATGCCCAGACTTTAATGAAATGAGAAGTGAAGAGAGAATTTTTTTTCTTGGCATTTTGCAATTAAACCCTAGTCACTTGTTCAAGAATTGGACAGATTCAAACTTTAGATATTATTAACCTGATATAATACTGATAAGCTACAGTAATATTATTTATGTATCTTGCATGAATACTGTCTATGAGTATGGTATTCAGTCAGCTTAGCCCCTAAGCAATGGATGCTCAGTGTGGACTGAGACCCAGTTGGAGAGCAGCATTGCGCAACTTAGCGTTGCAGTGATACTCGCTTTGCCAGGGAGCATCAGATATTGGCCATGTCTGGCAGCCTCAGCTATATTATGCTTAATTCAGTAACGTAGATTATTTAGATGCGCTGGTACACACATTGTCCCCTTAGAGTGTTCCTGTAGCTGCCACCAGCCTAGTACACAGTCTCAGCAAAGATTTTTTTGTATTAGAACAAAAAATAAATGACATCTGACTGGCAGCAAATTCAGGAGCTTGCGGATTTGAAGTAAAAGCATTAGAAGGGCAGACCCTATCTTAAATCACACCTTTAAGATCATCAAGTCCAACCATTAACCTAGCACTGCCAAATCCACCACTAAACCATGTCCCTCAGCACCACATCTACATGTCTTTTAAATACCTCCAGGGAGGGTGACCCCACCACTTCCCTGGGCAGCCTGTTCCAGTGCTTGACAACCCTTTCAGTGAAGAAATTTTTCCTAATATCCAATCTAAACCTCCACTCGTGCAACTTGAGGCCATTTCCTCTTGTCCTGTCGCTTGTTACTTGGGAGAAGAGACCAACACCCACCTGGCTACAACCTCCTTTCAGGTAGTAGTAGAGAGTAATAAGGTCTCCCCTCAGCCTCCTTTTCTCCAGACTAAACAGTCCCGGTTCCTCGGAAATGGGGGTTTACTATTTTTTCTTAAAGACAAAAAGAAATGTTTATCTTTTCATAAAGTATTTCCCTGGTCTTTTCTATGCTTTTCTCTCTCTTTTGGCTCTCCAAAGGAGTCACCATAAAATAACAGCAACAAAAACGATCCTGTTCAACTGATTCCTTTTCTGTGTTGATTCAGCATTGTATATGCCCACTTTATGGACAAAAATATAGCTTACACTCTTGTTAGTCTTGCAGATCCACAGTTAAGTGGGATGAGGTTGATTATATTTCCTTCTGTGCATCGCCAACAGCAGTGTTCATTCTGCTCCATTCCAGCGGTGCGGTCAGTCCTGCGCCGCGGCGTGAGGTCAGGACTCAGTGCCCTGGGATTCCCCGCCGTGCCACGGAGCAGCCGAAAGTGTCTTGTAATGGGAATCTGTACAAGGGGTGATAATGCCAATGTAAAAAAGAATTATGCTCAATGTCTGGATGATAAAAACATTTGCTATCTGGCTGTTAAAAAGGCAACAGCAAAAAGAACAAAAAAAAACCCCAAGCCTCTTTTTTTGCCCCCCTGACTTCAAGTCCAGTAATTGTTTTGCACTTGCAACATCAAAGTGAGTTCTTTTGAGACAGATAGACAACCCAGTCTGCTTTTTTCTTCAGTAAAATTGAGTTTGAATTGGATTTTTAAGAAAGTTAGGAGTACGAATACAGTTCTTTTGGTTTTAATACTAATTTTCATAATCAGCCCTAAGAATTGCAGGGGCTAGAGAATTCATTAATCAGCGTGGTTTTGCAGAGTGCCATTCCTCTGTGTTTCAGTTCAGACCAGAATTTTCATGTGCTTTCTGTATTTTGGTTGCTGTCTAGAAGAAAGAATGGCTCAGCCCCGGTTGTCCTGGGCTTAGAGGGGCAGGGACAGTTGCCTCTGATGTGCTGCAGAGGAGCTGTCTCTGTCAGAAAGCTTTCCTGTACTTCAAAAGTCAAAGTCTACTTAACCTGAGCATGTAACTGTTTCAGAACTTTGTGAAGTGACTCCTTTTTCCTGCCAGCATTATACAGCTTCACCAGTTCTCATGTTGTAAACTAAACCTCCAAAGCAATTATAGTAGCAATAAAATTGTACATAAACACCATAAGAGTAATATCTTGTCTTCAGAGAGGTAGCGAGGAGATCATTTATATCATCAGCTCTTACATATGTGTAAACTCGAAAGAGACCACAAACTTCCCAGAAGGTAAAAAAGTGTCTTTATGCTGTTGTGGTTTTACTGAACTGAAAAGTTGCCTGTAGGAAGAATTTTCATTGACTCACCAGGAGATAGAATATAATCCATCCAGGTTTTCAAGTGAATTATCTTGTGGTAAATATTGATACAAGCATGGAGTGAGTGGTAGTTATGAATGAACTCCAGGCCGAAACTGTGTATCTGAGTTTTTCTCCTGTTTGCATTACGTCTACACATAGTACAGTAATATAGTTAATTCTGTAAGCTGCACTATTACAAACCTCGCAAAGCTTGGTTTAATATCTCAGCCACTCTAGACAAAACCACACAGTGAGTATTTGATGGATGCTGTTAGATTAGTGTAACAAAAACATTTAGTTTGGGATTTGGATATACCTAAGGTTCCCTCCCTTTCAGAAGAGTTAAATATACTGTTCAAATCTGTGTGTTCAACTTTCAGCCTTGCCCTCTGTGATCAGCATTGTGTGTTGATTCTTCAACTTTCCTTTAGAAGCACAAAGAGACTTTAAGGTACATTTCCAAAGTTGTGCAGACAGTGGCAAAAATGGGAAGAATAACAGTAGCCGTGACTTGATATTCACATATGGCCAGTATTTAACACTTCACTTTTCAGAAGACGTGGCCATCAACTTTTTGGATCTTTAACTCAAGGTTGTCATTTTTTTAATTACCGAGGAGCCTAAGATTTGAGGACAAACACTGGAGCTCCTTGTGTCGTGTTCTGTTAATTAGTGATATTATGATGATTAGCCTGTGTGGGCAAACAGCTGCTGGCTGTATGGCCATAATGCATACGCAGCGCTTAGGCACGACTGTCAGGCAGGGCCGTGCAGCTGGCAGCCAGTATGTGC